TGTTTATAATAAAATATATAATTTGGCTTTAATGGTAAACATTAGTATGCACATGCTTATGTGTTTCTGAGCTATAAATCAAACTCATGGAGGGAGATTTTCTTGATGCGAACCTACAAGGAAAGCCACGTCCCTCAGAAAACATACAGACGATACAGCTGTGCAGCTGAATAGCGCATTATACGGCCATGTCCAGTTATCATGAAAATTGGCCAGAATTCCTGCAGGCTAATCCAGTATGGTTTTGATAACTAAAAGATAAAACACATCATAATTCACACTGTCATAATGTAGACCTAACCAAAACTCAGCAGTTTTGAAATCACTAATTTATGTAACGATCATTCCATCAAAGTTGAGTACCATGGTAATAATTCATTAAATTATTCACAGAATTTCTGAAACTGTCTCAAAAATATATGGGGCCAAGTTCTATGAAATTCACTAAAGTCAACAACAACAAAAAAAAATAAGAATGAGCATAAAAGGAGTGTTGTTTATTCTCTAAACCTTGCATACCTTACAAAATCAGAAGCTCCATCAAATTTCTTTAATCACATGATGACAAAACATCAGAATTGGAAAGGAAAAAATTATATCTAGTCAGGAACATAATTAAGAAAAACAACGAAGGATTTTAAGGTTATTGTATTTAATCTGATGATCATCCACAAAGAGAAGCTCACGTCAAAATGCAATCTTCTAGGTCATATTTTCTTCTGACAATTCTCTATACATTTTCCAACCCTCTAGCACAGTCTGTGCACCTGCAATGCACAGCAGCCTGGACACGATGCTGTCCCAGCGCTTCTGCCATTAACCTTGTCACACAATAAAATTCTGTTTACTTTTCAGTCTCCTAAATTATACCATAAGAACCTTAAGGACAAAAATCTATATATCGTATTTTCTCTTTGTTGCTAACACCTAGTATATACTGTTGTTCTTTAAATATTTGTTGAATTATACTAAATCCGACACAGTAACTTTTAAGCACAAGGGAAATCTGTTTCACTTTGTTTCCTTTATTATACATTTACACACTAAGGGAATGTGAGTGCATATGTGTAAGTAAATTATACATACACATTAATATGTAATAGGTATATATAATTTACATATAATTATATATAACTGCATATATATCATTATATACAAATTATATATATATATATTATTTAATATATATATATATTAAACTGTTCTGTCATTAAACTCTCAAGTTTTCATTCTTGAATTGTGTAGTCTAGAATGGAGACATTATTCCAAATTATTGATAAAGAGTTCAGGATTTAAATCCCAGCCAGATGTAAAGTCAAAGAATATTTGAAAGAACTCCCCCTTTCTAACTCAGCCTTTCCAGAAATCCTACTGCAATATACAAGAGGCCTTCCAAGAGGCTTGGAAAGGAGCTACACCTATAGTCACTATAATGATTAGGGGGAGAAAGATGATAAAAAAAGGAAACTGAGGTGAAAGAATTATACACAGAAAA